CAGAAGCTCTCCGCACCATCGGCTTACTGATCATCTCCTGGCAGTGCTGCTAAAAAATGCTGGCATGCGAACTGGCAGTCTCTGTGTTCGGTTTATAATTATAGCCACTTAACAGCACAGGACGGAGGACACATTCCCAGAACAGGGGACTGGACTTCATTCTGACATGCAACGAAGCTGGACAATCAAGTAACAAATGACTGTCGGGTGTGTCTAAAGGGCAAATCAATAATGGCCCAGCCTGAAAACCTGGACCATAAATTCCAAATTTCATGCTGCCGTTTGACATAATTACCAAACACACTTTTTGCCAGTTACATTTTACACCCAGTTCTCTTCTTGCAACACCGCATTCCAGCATTCTGGACTTTCATGCCTTTTATTCCATTACACGTCCCTTGATAATTTATGTATAATAATCGCCCATTCACAGCAAACATTATGTGTCGGTTGAATGAATGAGGACCATTACCCCCCGCGCTCCAAGCCAATTACTTCATACCCTCAGACAAGAATTACATCCTCTGAATATTACCACAATGCATCACTGAATTACACGTACAAAAGGCATGGCTGTGGTTGATAATGAGTGACAGATGCTATTTTTCTCCTGCTCTACACTCCCGGCCCCTGGCATAAATCTCTGTGATTGCCATTATCCTGACAGAGCGGTTGAGACATTAGCCTGGGTTTGGCCGATTTATCACAGAAATGGCGGCGAGGGGATGGCGGCAGGTGATAAAGGGAGTGTGACCGCGGGGGAAGCGGGCCAAGGTCAGAGGCAGCGGGCGGCCATTTATTCCGCAGGCAGAGCGGTGTGACTGAGGATATGAAGTGCTCAATGAGGTGTGGCCCCTGCCCACACCTCAGAGACACATTCACTCACAGTGCAGGGTTCCAATACTCACTGCCCTGGGACCCATGTCTTTGTTCCAAGATGTACAGCAGATTCAGAGAGGCACACGATGCTGTTCTGCAGAACCATTACCTCAAACACACACACACACACACACACACACACACACACACACACACACACACACACACACACACACACACACACACATGCACACGCACACATGCACACACACACAAAAACCTACTCCTGCACACTGAATGCGAGTACACATTTACTCAGTGGACATCATTTTTCAGGGATATTTTAAACACTTTTTGTAAAAAGTCAACAGTACTGCATTTGCTCAAATACATGTTCAGAAATGCAACAACTATTTAAACACAGGTCTTGTCTGAAAATGGACTAAGGATAAGACAGAGAAGCAGTGGCTTGAGTTTTAAAATCTTTACAGACCAATGCAAGGCAGCCAGTACCCTGTGGACTCTGTGACGCAAGAACACAAAGAAGAGCATGGATTGAGTAACGCTGTTCTGAGGCACAGCTGAATCATAGCCGCAGTAAATGGTCTGAGATGCCGGGACATGCTGTGGGACGGCATGGGTACTCACGCTTTGGACTGGATCCCGTTGGCTCTGGTGCCCGGGTAGCGGCTGAGTCCTTTGTGCTCCTCTACGGATATCACCCCGCCCACCTCGTCCCGGATGGCCCCGGCGTGGACGGCCGCCTTGCACAGCACCGAGGTCTGAAAGGGAAGCGATGCCGTTACCGCACGCTAACGCAGGGCGTCCGAGGCACTGCACATAAATGGCTGGTGTGAGAGGGGACAAGCGGACACAGAGCAGGCAGGGCCGGTGTGCTGTCCCCACTTTTCCCATCAAAAATACCGCTGACAGGCTGACAATTCCCAAAAATACACATAAAACAGCAAATTCCCCACTGTCAATACTAGCACAAATTCAGTAGAACTGGTATGAAATTAGATTAATGAAATAAAAAAATACTAAAAATGTTGATAATTAGGCATGTAGCGAAGGGAGAGAGCAGTCACCCCACCCGGTCTCGAACCCGGGTCTACGGGGTACCAAACCTGCAGCTTGACCGCAACGCCAAAGAGCCAGGCTCGTTGGTATGGCAGTCAGGGCACATACTCAGTAGTGACAGCACTCCGTCACAAGGCACTATTCTCAACCAAGTGATAACAACACATGAGGTTGAAAGCTGCTACAATGACCGTCAGTCTGCAAACAAAGGACAGGACAGACTTCTGACACGATACTGTCTGGATCACTGCTACTGTGGGTGGGGTCTAAATATTCAGCACCCAGGAACCATTTCAGAATGACAAACCAATTTACTCAATGATAGATGACACACATTTCCATTCCTAAAGCAGAATGTATGTCTTCATCTGCAATATAGTCTCACACGTTTCAATCAGCATTAAGAGTAATGTCTGATCACCGTGCCTCTGCAGGCTCTAATCAAATGTAAACCATGTATTTTCACACACAGCTTAATTAAATAAAAACTTCAAAACGCACATGGTAATTTCATTCACGAGCGACAATTACAGTAATTGCAGCCAGAAGGAATGCAAAATGCTCTCCTCAGTACATTACCTAGGAAGGCAGTACTTTGTTATAGCAAATGCCTTCAGAATAACAGCCTTCAAGAGACTGCTTTGAGCATTGACGGGTATTAAGGGCTGAGACAGGTATGAGAGAGGTGTTTTTTCTGTTATAAAGAGTAGATCTACACACCAACTAAGCACTTAATGGTTTAAACACCATAGTCATTTCCTATACAGGGAAGGGCAGAACGCACTGTAATAAACATAATTATCATTACAGCGCTTTAAAATGAACAGAGCCTGTCCCCATAAACGACTTAAACTTCCACACTAAATCAGCCAGGGATTTGGAGAGCAGAAAGCGGCCAAGAGAGTGTTGGCAGCAGGGTAACAGCAGCTTAGATCCTTCACAAACACTTCATGTGTAACAAGCTCTTAAAACACAGCGAAGAGGAACACTGCAAACTGCACAAAGAAGAAAGTCAAGAAGGAAAACTTCTGTTACGTAGGGGTTCTAGGAGTAAACGCGCTGCTTTCATTCCAAATGGAACAAATGAAAATTTCACCCGTTTCAACGATGAGTGCAAACGCATTTCATAATGAAGAGCATGTGAGGGGGTGAACACACATTGGAGCTCCAGATGACCCAGGCTGGTCTACACAGCAACCAAGAGAACATTAGCAGAGCGGTCGCTGGACCGCCCGGATGGGCCAACAGTGGCCACTTTGTCCCTATCTGGCAAAACAGCTGCTCTGAATTCAAATTTAACAGCCTCATTAACCCAGCGGTTTATAAAACGCCAGATGGATGTAAATAAAGAGAATTCTTCTGTGCTGTCACATGCCGTGTTCAGCAATGCTGTATGAGCCACAGTCCAGTTAGGGTCAAGGATATGAGCAGGGGCCTGAGGAGGTTTAATGCCGGGTTCAACGGTTCTGCAGTCACTTCAGTCACAGCCCTCTTCTGGACTGGAGATTACCAACCATGCCTAAAGGTAAGAGAACTAGCCCACAGACACTGGTGCAGCTTTCATCGTTGTGTATCATTACAGTGGACCTTCAGTCTCCCGGCAATCTTAGGGTCAAACAACTCCATCATGATGGATGGACGCATGAATGTTTTATTCCATGATCAATACTGGCTGGCCCTCACTGAGCTGATGGCCCATCTGATCCCTGAGTGTCCACATTTCCTGTAGTCCTGCCACTCCTAGGGTGTGATCCAGAGACAAAAAATACCCCAGCTTTAGGTTCCCATCCCAGCCCACACTTCACCTGATTGGCCACATAATTCACTTCCTCCTTCCTGTCTCTGTCTGTCTCCCAAAGTGAAGTACAGCATGCATGCTGGGTCAATGAAGCCATTACTATGGACCTACATAAATTTACTGTGAAAGAGATCTCTGACATATGACTGTTGCAGGGTGAAAAAACCCCACACACAGCTCTCCGGTCCATCCCCACACTGGAGATCTGGGATTGAAGATGGAATGACGCCTAACTGATTCATGCCTGGCCTACCGTAGAGGACATTGTTTCCATTGAAATAATAATTACTGACCAGTTAATCAAAACAACTCACATACAGAATTATTAGGTTCAAGAGCCAAAGGCATGACACTGTTGCCTTAATATATGAAGTCAACCAATTTAAATTTAAAGGTTAATAAACTAATGCCATAAAAAACTAAATAAAAATTTACTTGACTGACACTGACTCTGGTGCAAATGCTACTGAAAGGGTGTGAAGTGGTTCCCTGGGACAGACACACAGTCTCTGCTCTGAAGCATTACTGCCTAAAAATAAAATAATACAAATGGAGGCAAACCAAAGCTTTATGAAAGCAGAGGCAAACTGATGTTTAACAAAGAGCCAGCGGCCAGCGTCACAAAGCCTGAGGCCAGCAGCAGAGCAGAGCAGGGGATACACCTCCCTGCTCCTCCTGCCGTTGGACATTGTTGTGCGACCTCCTGCCGTGCCTCCTAAGCCTCCGGCAGTCACACTCACTGACCAATCAATAGAGGCGTTCACGCCACCCTTAGAGATCCCCTCTCTTCACAGCTCGGGAAAGCATCTCCCAGACACGGGCCCCCCAGTCAGGCCTTTAGCTCCCGCTACACTGCACAGCCGGGAGATCCTCCTCAAATCCTCCTCCTCTCCACCCAGATCGAGCCGACGCTCCGCTCAAACCTCCAGGCGGTGGGGTGTGCGTGGAAAGGGCCTCACTTTGTTTTCAGAAAAGCATCTGCATCTCTTCAGCAGTTATACGAGTGGAAGAAAACCACCACCGACTCAACTACCATTTCCCACATATATATCCTTTTTGTGGCCAAATCTTGGCTTTGGTCTGTGAGCTTTCTCGTATAATAAGGCAAGTTTGACAATTACCATCACAAAACAGCAGCAACAAGACTGGCAGGAATATAAAGGCAGATGCATTAATTAAAATGTTTGGATCAAATATGTCATTACAAACAGCCACTGTACTGAAACTACAGCAAATAATGCAAAAACTACAATCTGTATAATAACAATGAATGGATCTGGAGTCTAATTAAAAGCATTGGGGCTCCTGAGTAGCTCAGGGTTTAAGGCACTTGCTTTGAGCGCTAGATGAGCTCTACAGCCTGGGTTCAATCCCAGCTATGTCATAAACTGAAAATGACCAAGAACCTACAGCGCAGGAACAAAGTGGCTTCATTCTGCTGGGTGATAGGTGGGTATGATAGTTGTTACAGGAGCCTTGTCATGCATCTCTCAGGCACCCTGTGACTAATCACATGCCTACATGTTGCTCTAACTGCCACTTAGCTCACTAGTGCACTGGGCGACCAGCAGTGTGGAAAATAGTTGGGGTTGTTGTGTGAGTGTATTGGAGGATTGCATTCACTATGCCCCACTCTCCTGCATGAGTACAATGAGTAATTTGGTAATAGGTTAGCAGGGTAGACAAGCAACATGTGACAGAACAGCAACACCATTGCACACACAGTGTGACAAAAGCCATTAAACTCACTGCTGCCCCGGGCCGTTTGGACAGCTTGTGATGTAACCCAAACAAGTTCACTGTGCATGCAGCAACAGGCAATAAAGAACCTACGACTAGATATTACTCGCCCTCCTTTCCTGGGACAGAGCACACTGACAGGGACAGAGGACAACTCCTTTCTCCTGATAAAAATCACAGGAGCATCAAAACAGATCCACACCAACCAAGGCGACAGCCTGCAAGGACAGTAAACCACATAACCTTTGACCCCTGTGTTTCCCAGCAAACAAGAGCCCATTCACTGGCCGAGCACCTGTGGAGAGTTTCCATTCTGACTGACGCAAGAGCACAGCACCTGTGGAGAAAGGTTCCACTCTGACTGACGCCGCGGCAGTTGTTTGTCCTGATGGCAGACAGCAGCGGCTGACGGTAAACAAACGACCATGCAGCTGAGGAGGACTGGAGCCTGTCACGGCAGCACTTGGCAGCACTGTCAACTTATAAACAATTTAGCACCCGCTTTTGCGGTAAGAGGGCTCAGTCAGTAAAGATGCTCAGTCTGCCTGCAGGCAGCTCACTACAGCACAGCCATCAGTGGCAGTTCCTCATAGCACCGCTCATTAGCGCCTGGTAATGACTCAAAAGACACCTACAAATTGCTAAGATGCCGTAAGTGAGAGATTCAGCAATCCTCCAATCAGCATCAGCTCTCCTATAGTGCACTATAGTGTAACACAGCCGATGGCCATGATTTAGCGGATCAGCCTCACTAGTGCTTCCTGTGAGAGTGCCAGAGTTGTCGAGGTGAGATGGGCTGAAGGTTCAGTTGGAAATTCCCAAGTAAAAGCGAAGGAAAGGAGGAAAAACGCCAACGTTTACAGGCTGTTTGTTTCTTTTTAATCTGGCCGGCAGTGATCACCGATGTGTCTCTCACAGCAGGGTAAAGAGCACGCTCATACTCACATGTCTGTACCCCTGTGTGACGTCCCCGGACACCTCACCGGCCACCGCTCTGCACCCCGCCGGACAGTACTTCCTGTGAAACAGGAAAACAGCAAGGCCTTATTGAATGAGCATGCTCCCACTGTCCACCCTGCCAAACAACCGCACCACATCCACCCACCTGTATCAGATTAACAGGGCCAACAGGAAAAAATATTATACAAGCCATCACTGCTCATTAATACAGACAATGTGACTGAACTACACAGAGTTAAATGCTAATTATTATTTACATGACCAGAAAAAACTGGATATTAATTTATATAACTCCTAGTTTATTTGGCTCTGCAATCATGCATGAATATGATCACATGTTTGATGCCTTGTGTGAAACCACAGAGACAGCATTACGAAATTTACTGCTGCCTCTGGCCTAATACAAATTACACTTGGAGAGCGAGACATCACGTCAGGAATGTCTTCATCGAGGGCAAAAGGCGCTTGCATTAACGCGCTGAGCAAACACGCAGACACACGTGCGCACATGCACACAGGCATGCGGCGCTCTCACCTGTACTTTGCAGCTGAGAAATGGCTGCCCCTGTCCAAGCATGTGAGCAGATCTGGGGAGAGACAATGCAGAGGGGAAAAATGGGACGAAAATAGGATCACGCGATGGAGCAGACACAGGAAACCAGCCCCAACGCAACAACGGAATCCCAGCAAAACAGGACAATGACCCCGCTTCCTCTACTGTGCCTGCCTAAAGGGAGACGTACATCAGCATGCGCGCGATCACACACACACACACAAAACCACATGCGCGTGTGTTTCAAACATTAACCACTACACTGGAAAAGTGAATGAGGCCTGATATACTGTTTTACAATGGACGTTACTACAGTTATATGCAAACACGACAACTGAACCAGGTGTACGCAAACTGCAAAGCTGTTGTTATTTTACGTGAGCTAAGATGTGAGGGCATTAATTACTGAAGGAGATCAACGGCAGTGTTTGGCTCTGCGGTATGCTATACTGGCATACTGCATTTCAACATGCCGACTGTCAGTGGATGTGTATGCTCCATAGGAGTTTACCCTGAGGAAAGGAAGAGACAGGCCAGTACCAACAAGCCAGATAACTGGTTCTCCCAGACACATACAGATACATTCTCACACACACATACATACATGTACATACATACATAAAATGAGCTTTATGACCCTGAAAAACATAGTTACTGAACAAAACAGGGCAATGTTACTGGAATCATAAAGGTGACAGAATGCAGCTGACCTTTGTGCTCCCTGGTGGTGTAGGACAGTAGAAAACCTCGCCCGGATACGTGCAGTCCGCTGCGAAACTGCACAGTCACCTCGCTGGACTCGGTGTGCACCTCTCTGGGAAGATTCTTCATGTTTCCACAGAAGGGCCCGTACACTGAAAACAAAAAACGCCGTGACTCATTCAGAAGAATGCACACCATCTGAGAAATGCGGCAAACAGTTCCCATGACCACCTTTTACATTCCAGCAAAAACAAATGCACACCTTCATGTTCAACAGCAGCGAGGAATCTGCTCCTCTGGCACACAGGTGATTTGTGCACACTTTACTCCTGCTTCAACACTGCTGTTAAAACTAATGAATATTTCAATTCAAAACCATCCACCATGCAGGCTAATTAATGACACTATCAGCACTGTCCCTGACATCATAGCTGTTGATGTCATTTATTTGACATGCTCTCTAACGCAGACTTCCTGAAATCTTTTTGAAACCAATTCCGAGTTGATGATGTCGAGGCTGACTCATCGCTAAGTTGCCTCATTGATCCACAACTTATTGATGAGTTACCTCACTAGCCCACAGAACGCCTCCAAGAGACCCTGTCTATGACCTTCTAGGGTCAGCTCCACAGACCTGTCATCGGAGACCAGCCTCCTCCGTCTCTTTCAAACAAAAAAAGAGAGAATAGGCTTCCTGTTCTGTCAGGGACAGGAATCAGACTATAAATAACTCATACAGTGGACAATGGGAAGCCGAGACACCTGTATCTGTCCTGGGGCACTTTCAAAGGTGCGGCTCGGCCCCTCACGGAACGCCTGTCTCAACAGCATCTTTTTCACCTGACGCACCTGACACACAATACCCCAGTCACCTCCACAGCTGCCTGAGGCCTTCCTGTGGGAGCCACCGAATCTACTCGCTCAGCTCGCTAACACACCACCTGCACTGCCTGCGCTCCGACAAGCTTAAACTACTCATGTTCAATATGGAAAACATGCACAGTGCTAAACACAATACCCATTTGGAGAAGAAACCCCACATCGCAGACAGTACAGTCACCGTCAATGCCAATAGTTATCTGAATAAAAACAGAATCAAATTAGTAGTGTAGCACAGTGGTAAGGTGCAGGGCTCATAACCCAAAAGGTTGCTGGTTCAGTTCCTGTTAGAGGAAATCAAAGTAAAGTATGGGTTAATACATTTCTATACAAGGGAATAACACATGACACATGCTATTTGAAGCTCAAGGCAGATTCTTCATGGTTTATACATATGGTTCGTAGCCCAATCTGGTCTCAGTAATATAGCCCTAAATACTTTCTTTTCCTTACTCCCTCACTAGCTTACAGATCGTAAAAACTTCAAGGATGTTCACCACAGCTGTTTTACATGTGATTGAAAACAGTTTCCCCCTCGCTAACAAAGTGGGTAGCCTACGACATGAATATGGCAGGCTCCTGCCAGCTCAACCCTCAGGTCTATGGAAATCCTGCTCTCTCCGGAGCTCCTGTCACCCTTACTCAAAGCTGTGCGTCACAGCTGAGAGATCTGACTCCCCAGTGAGACGGGAGATGACACATGCCGGCTGTCAGGAGCTGCTCCGCTCTCGCGTCTGGAGAAACAGATGATCCCATGTGACGCAGGCTCAACAGGATGATTAAGTCTGGGATACAGTGGGGCCTCCTCGGGCTCCTCTCCCTTATCCTGACAGATTCCATACAGTGGCAACATGCTACTGCTTTAGCACTCCAGAAACACCTTCCCAGAACATTTTATTAACTGGTGTTTTTCCCCATACACTTAGTGGTGGCTAAAACTACAGAGTTTAGAAATGATTTCAACAGACGTACATTGCAACAGACACACAAAGGGGCACTTCTTCTAAACATGTTTCCTTCGTATCCAACCATGGGATCCTACTGTCAATACTGGCTTTAATCCAAGAGCTTTATAATTAATTAGTTTTGAGTTAACTGAGCTAGCTGAATACTGTTATATAAAACACATTGAACAGTGGTCTCCAGAATAAGTATAGGCCAATGTTCTAAGCACTCAATACAATTACTTCCACACCACCAGCGGGGAAAAAGACACAAAAATAGACTCCCAGGGTCCAGACGTGTGGGTCTCTCATTCAGTGAATTAGCCTTGGGAGCCCAGACCAAGGCTGAAACTCCAAGCAAACGGTTTACTCAGAGCAGTGTGACACAGGGAGAATGACAAAGCCACACAGCCAAAACTTCGGAAAACCCGTCCCCTCTGTACACATATGACCAAATATGTGACCTCCCCACTGGGAAGTCCACAGCCTCCCACTCAGTCTTAAAAATGATTAGTTCTACTCAGGTGTTCTATCGTCGCTTCAGTCTGGTCTGCTGGAGTGACTCTGTACTGCCCAGAAACTCTTATCAGTTCCCCTAAGCCAGCT